CGGGGGAGGGGGTAAATTTTATTTTTTTTGAAAAAACAAAATTTTTTTGTTTTTGGAAATTAGGGATAGGTTGGTGGAAGGTGTGTGGGGGAGGAGGAGGGGGTAATTTATTTATTTTTGAAAAAACAGATTTCTTTTTTTTTCTTTTTGGAAAACAAAAAAATTTAGGGGTCGGTTGGTGGAAGGTGGGGGTAGTTTTTTTTTTTGAAAAACAGTTTTTTTTTGTTTTTGGAAAACAAAAAAAAATTAAGGGTAGGTTGGTGGAAGGTGGGGGGGGGGGGAAGTTATTTTTTTTGGAAAACAGATTTTTTAAATGGGTTAGAACCATTTTACCCAAATCATGTTTGACCAAATCCATATTTATCTATATTCTATTTGGATAGATTGTAAACCAAACCATTTTTACTCAATCCATTCAAATTCGATTCAATCCAACCTTGCCACCCCTAAGAAAGTGTTAGACAGAAGCATAGCTACTGTATCATTTTCAAAGAGGTGCATGAATTGCTTAAAGCTAATTCGTTTGTCCTGGCCTTTTGTCAATTATGAAATGCCATCATATAATTAAATTATGTGGATATAGCCGGTTCATTTGGACCCCATTTTGAGCTACCAAATGCCGACTAAATTCATTTACCTCAACTACCTAATTTTGTTGTTGTGAATATAGACAGTATTTACTACCAAGAATGGACTTTTCTTATATTTTTTTTCCTCCAAATTGCGGGTAAGGCCGGGGAGAAAATGACAAGGATGGAAATCGAACTCTCACCAACATGTTAAAAATTTAGGTAAAGTACTATCAAAATAAATTTTATAAGAGGATTAACTAGACAAAAAGAATAAATCCTTTTTGGATGGTAGGACTTACAATACAATTCAGATTTACCTTATTTGTGATTTTGAATCAAGAGTAAAATTTTCAAAATTAATATATTATTTTTTTTAATAATTGAAAAATCTGTAACAAGGTGACATGCATCTAACTTACATATCACGTTCTATACTTTTACCACAAAACCTAATTAACCTCGAGGCAATAGATGAGAAACTATAGCTTATAGGTGTATCTAATTATTATTGAAGAAAAAAATCTATTGATCAGTTGACATGAGGAAAGAATGCAATATACGCAATTCCGCTGATAAGCGCTTGCTATTGAAGGATAATATCTCACTGTCTCAAATTTATGTAACACACTTTTATTTTAGTTCATATATCCTAATTTTTATTTTTTTTATAATTAGAGATTTAATTTAAATTCCTCTTTTTTCCTCAATAAAATAATTTGTGACCACATATATAATCAAAGAATATTTTAAATTATAAATTTCAAAAATCAAATTAAATGATATCACATAAATTGAAACGAATGAAATATTATATTCGTGCTTACACTTGGCCAATGGTGGTTAGCAGATAAGCGTTGGGACTTCACTGTTCCTGGACCACACGATGTCAACTAAATATATATCTACCACATAAAAGAGCTTACAAACATTTTTTTTAAAACAGAAAAGAGTAGACCCTCAATGTTAGTACTACTTATCAGCAAGTATTAAATTTGCATTTTCCTTGGTTGCCGGGAAATAAAAGTGAGGTGAATTAAAAGCACAAAATATCGATCTATTATATAAAAAAATATATGGAGATATGTGATCCATTAATGTGGCGCCTTAAGATATTTAGCTACTTTGTTTATGAACTATAATTTGTTCATTTGAAAAGATTATATAATAGTTGTAGAAATTTTAATAATTTTCACTAATGGTTGAGGTTTTATAGTGAAAATTATGTCTCTTGTGAAATTTATTGTTCAGTTGATATGATGTGAGAATACAATATATGCAATTCGACTGATAAGCGTTGGGACATCACTGTCTTTGGACCATACTATCCTAAAATGTCAACTAAAAATCTGCCAAAGAGTTAATTGGTGTAACATAGTACTCCATTATTAGTAAAAAAATATGAATAATGTAAATACTGCATTTATATATGTTCTTCCAAATATACTACAAATCGAAAAATAAAACCTGAAAGAGGACCTGATACACACATCCATAAATTTTGGAGAGTCTGCTACTTTTTCTTTTGTTGATCATAATAAAGGAAAAGACTATACTCCAATTCATGAAGTTATTTTGGCATTTACAGGAAAAGACTGCACTTCATGTGCATAAAATGTTACTACAAACTTTGTATTACAATGGATCCATCAATGTTTTTATTCATAAATGGCAAAACTGTTTCTTTATAACAATGGATCTTTAGAGATCAGCAGTATCACATGAAGTGAAACAAGCATCTCAAAATGTTTAGTAATTTGTAAAGCAAATTCTGTGCCATTAAGCAGCCAGGCAATACTCGAATCATCCACTGATAAAGTGATCATTTCATGTTAGGCAGAATCTGATACTCCCATAAGAAGGCTTTACACTTCATAGAAAGCAATAGGGGTTGTTTTTGTATAGTCTATTCATCCCATATCGGAAATAGCTAATGCATAGATAACCAAGATCTGCTGTAAAATCCAAGGCCCATTGACATAATCAATCATACCTTTCTCGGCCTTTTGGCTAAGATCAAGTGTAGTATCTGTTCTTATCAGTTTAATATCTGATATGTGGGTCATTGATTCACACGATATTAACTTAATTTTTTAAAGGGAAAAGATCCATCAAGGTAGCTTGCTACTTGGGCTTTTGCGCGTCGCCCATGCGTTGCACTACTGCTTGGGCCTGGCGCACCCCACCAAATCGAGTTCCAATTTTCACATTTGTCTTTATTTAGGCCTCACATGTGCTACAAACACTATTCTGGCCCTTTACTTAATTAATCCATTGTATTCCAAATTCCAATCCCCGAGGAATGATAAATTTATTTAATAGAGTACATATACCATTACTTAGTGCTCTTTTTTCTACTTAATTCGATTATTTAAGAACCACCAGGAAATAAAAAAAATGCTCTTTTGTTTAATCTTCCAATAAATTTGACAGGATGTTAATTAGTTTTACTTACGTCTTACCACTTTCTCTGTGCCTAGTTCGTACGCAGTACGACCAATAAAGTTAAAATAATCTCTCCTACATAATTCACTTTGATGATGGAATGTGACGAATACCAAAATATCTTCTTACAAATGGGTTGGTAAGTCATGTATTAAAGCAAACAATGTTAACAATCATCTCAACTATGACCAACAAATATACTTGCACTGGAGGCATCTATTAGCTAGCAGTGTAAAACTCATAGAAGTAAGAGACGCGCCCTCTCGGTTTAGGAAGCAAAAAACATCGTGCTTTCATTTAGCAATCTATAATCTGCTTCATAATAGCCACATGATAAGAGTGTAACAAGTGATGTGTAGATTATGCTCATGTCACAAGTTTGAACTCTGCTGCATACAAATGTGTCGACATTTAAGTGGAGAAGGATATAGGAGCATATTCCCTATCCCCTGCGCCACTAGCTCTTATGAATTTTGTTTATAACAATTGCCAGCCCAAGAACAGGGATTTCTTCCTGCTCGAATGCAGTAAATATAAACAGGATAACAAAAAAACACAAAACAAACTCATGTTAGGGAGCCTAAAATGCCAGATATGCTAGGCTCAGTTATAGAGTTTTTTAGAAGATACGCAGAATGACGCTGAAGTGAAATAAGCATCCCAATCAGTTCAAATCTGTATAGCAAATTCTGTACCATTTACCAGCCAAGCAATACTCGAAACATCACTGTCAGGTGTCCATTTTATTGTTAGGCAGAATCTCATACATAAGAACTAAAAAAGCTTTTACAACATTCGAGAAAGCAAAGGAGATTGTTTTTGAATTAGTCTATTCATCCCATATCGGAAATAGCTAATACCTATATAGCCAAGATCTACTATAAAAATCAAGGCCCATTTCCAGTATAAAGCATACCTTTCTCGGCCTTTTGGCTAAGATCAAGTGTAGTATCTGTTCTTATCAGTTTAATATCTGATATGTGGGCCATTGGCTCACACGATATTAACTCAATTTTTTAAGGGGGAAGGCCCATCAAAGTAGCTTGCTACTTGGGTCTTCATGTGTCGCCTTAGCGTTGCACTACTGCCCAGGCCTGGCGCACCCCACCAAATCAAGTCAAACATTTCCTAATTCATTTTGCCTCATTCTAATCAAACATACCAACTGAATATATTCTAAAGAACTATCATTATATTTTCAACTGAAAATTATTAACATATTAAAATTTAAACATTATCTGAAACATACATTGTTCATTTACCATTTGAGCCAAACTTTCATGCTGAAGCAAATTATTGAATTCTTGTAAAGTTACTCGTCATTCACCACGACACTGATCTCATTTTTGTCAAGCAAATCATAGAATTCCTTAGTTCTCCTCTGGTTGTTCCAATGGTGCATCTTCCACAAACCTCCCGCAACTATTCCAAGAGCAATCCCTATCACAATCTCTTTCACTACACTTGGACCCTTGTAAGCAGCATGTGCAATATGGGAACCTGCCATTTCTTCCCTTCTTTTAAGGAAGGAGTATAAACAAAAGGCGTCAACCACGAAGCTGTAGTCTCAGCTCTAATGTAAGAGAAACAAAAAGTAGCAACAGTAAAAAAATCATTGAATAATTCTCCCTTTTCCTTCATTCAAATCCTTCCTCAGCAACTCATGTATATTCTCGTAAAGCAAATTTGACTTCCCAGATATTAAAGAGATGTTTTCTTTTTCTTTTTAATATTCTTCAGATTGTTGAGTTTAGTCGAACCACCAACGCACATATGTAGGGTTTGACATGGAGCTTTTTCACTCCGAAAAACACTTTCATGAAATTCCGAAATCCAGAATTTTCGGCAATTTGAAAAACAATAAAAATCACTTTTTTCACTCCAAAGTATTCAAAAATAATCAAAGACAACTCTAATTTGTATTCATGGTCAACTGCAACTCTAAGTTTCAAGTTTCAAATATCATTTTCCACTTTGAAAATAAAGCATACAATGAAATATGGACAAAAACCACATAGTAACTTGAAATCAAGCAACAAAAAGCAATCATTTGCTACAGCAAATAACCATAGAAATTGAAGAAGAAAAAACAGAGGAAGGGAAGAAGCAAACCTTAGCAAGCAGATCGGTGTGAGACGGTTACGCAAAATAACAGGGGAACGAGAAATAGAGTTTTTGGCTGAATACTAGAAGCCGCCGAAAAGGGTAAATGCTCTGTAAAACGAGCTCACTCTATTTATGGTGGTCCACAGGAGAATCGAGAACCATCCAGTATTCTACGAAATTTGACTACCTTTTGTATGGCCATTTGGAAATTATTTACTCCACCCCCTCTCTTTCAATTTCTTTATCCATTCGGACTTGCGCCAAAATTCAAGAAAGTGCAGATGATTTTTAATATTTAATTAAAGGTACGTCAAAAATAATAATACTCTTTTGATTGTGCTATAAGTTAGAATTGAAAAGAAATTGTTTGCTAGTGATTATTACAATACTTTATTTGATGCACTTTTTTAATTTATGTCTAATTATGTATTTCAATACACACTTTATTAATTATGCATTCTATTTGATATGAATACAAGAATTTTTATGCATGCATTAACTTGATGATAAAAAAACAATTTCCCTCTCAAAATCTTTCAACATCTTGCACTTGTGAAATGCATTTTGTTGGAATAAAGTGGGGATTTAGTTTATCTCTATAATTTATTTTGCCCAATTGTCGAAATTCTCAATTCCCTTTAGTTGTACATCTTTAATTGACTATTAGTTAAACTTCTATACTAACAATGTAAAATCTCTTTAATACCACGAAGACACCAAAATGATAACTATAGGTAAACATTCTTAATACATTACTCTAGTAACCTGATAAATAAATCAGGTTACCTCCTATAACAAGTAAGAATATATTAATAATATAAAAATTCTTATAAGTCATAAATCATAACGCAATACCCTTTATTATCGCGGAGAAAGTAATTTTATCTAACCAAGTAAAGGAGACCAAACAAATTTTAAACGCATAGTTCTCAATATAGCTGACAAAGCAAGTCATTGGATTCAACATATCCTAGATACCACCATGTTCACTCAAACAGAAATGTAAAAATGCTTTTAAACCCAAGAAAGGGATTAGGTTGACTGATTTCTCCAACTTGTACTGAAGAAGTGCCCTGTTGTTCCTTGAAACTTGGAGAACGTAGTGGATATCCAACTTTATTCCTAATAAAGTAAGCATCTGCAGCTGACAACAATCTTGATCTTCCCTCTGCATCTTTTCTTGAGGTTTCCATAGAAAGATCAGTTTTTTCACTTGTACCAGGGGTGTAACTATGAAGAGTTAGATCCTCAACCTCTTCAATTTGTTTACTTGCTGCATTTTTCGTAACTTTTGTTGGAGTTGTCTCTTGAAACCCAAAGCTGGAAGAAATGTGCTCAGGTTGGTGAATTATGCAGGTTCCATTGGCCATATTGAGTAACTTGGGTTCTGTGTTCTTCACATTCTCAAAGCTGTGGAACATCTTAGAATCTATAGGGTTATATTTGAATATCATTTCTTCAGCAATTGTTTCAGATGGAACACTCCCAGTTTCAAAGAAAAGCTCACCTAGAACAGTATAATTTGATGTCAGCCTGCATATAATCTACAGATATTAGCGCCAATGACTTTGTATATTACCTCTCTCATCAGGCAGGTAAATGGCATTAGAGACGTGATGGCTATATGGTCTCTGATCTTTGTTAGAAAATGGTCTATTTTCTTCTAGATCAATATATTGTGCAGATTGAATGACCATGTTGTGATATGGGACTTTGGTTCTTCTCACTTCTTCAGATACTCCTACAGCATTCTCAACAAGAAGCTGCTCCTCGCGAGTGCGCTTTCTGATGAGATTCAAAGTTTCTAATGATGGTAAACATGTACCTTTCAGTGAGGTCAAAGCAGGGAGGTTTTTTGCCTTTTCACGTATATGGTCAAATACTGTATTTTCGTTTATGATTCTGCATTCATCATCTTCGACCGCAGCAGCAAGTACCACTTCATTGATGGATTTAGCAGCAGAAGTCAGTAACACATTGAAGTACATTAAACACAAAACATGTGAGAGCTTAAATTGCTACCTTCGTCTAGATCTTCATCTATTAGCTTGAAACTGGGCCTGATAACAGAAACAAGAAGCCAGTTAGTATTCAGTGTGGAAGCAGATTCAACCTGTCATACATGTAAGAGAGAACGATAGAATCTGGAACCTTCAGTTTCCCCAAAACATATACCACACAATTATTTCATATGGTGCCATCAAATACACATGGAATTTGCTATAAGTTCAAACTTCCCTCTCCTGTATAAGGTCTAATATTCATGACCCAATAATCCAAATAAGAAACAGAAACTACAAAAGTTAGCAGTCATATTGTCAATCATCATGGTTATCATATGCTTTACGTTCATAAAAAGGGAAAGTTAGCTCTCACATGTCTGAGCTCCAACCAGCTTCAGTTAAACTGTGAGACACTTGGCATGATGCTTGAGCTGCATCTTGTGTGTCCTCTATGATGCAGACATCATTGTTCTGGAAGGAAGAGGGTTGCTTGGTTCTGTACTTCATCACAAAATTATGGTCAACCATGTTTATCAATACAACCTTTTGACGGAGATCAACACCAACTGCAGAAAAATGATGTGATCTAGTCAAGTAAAACTCAAGGGGAGAAGCAGTACACATAAATGAAAATACACATAGAATGTGTGAGGAGTTAACTAAATTCATCAAATATCAGATCTGCTTTAACAGTCAGCTTCCCTTGCTGAGGACTTGGCACCATAACTGTCTTGCTATAAGGGCTGTAAAAGAAAACCATAATAACAGTGAAGATCACTACTAAATATGGCATTCACAAGAATTTCATGAATTTAATAATCTAGTTGGTATAGTTTGGCAGTTTCTCAGGCTTGATTTGGAAATGGGGACCAAACTTTTAAGAGTACCTAGGAAATTCATCCACCCTGCAGCAAGAAAAAAAATTCCAAGTCATTCTAGTGGCTAAATAATCATAAAGATAAATTTAACACCATTAGTTCATAAGTAGAACAGCCAAAGGGAATCATTAGATAGGCATCAGACGTATGACTACTCATACAGAAGTATATGCTGGACACCTAGAAAATTGACCTATATAAGCATGCTTTGAAAATCCTAATAATTTGTTGGGAACCTTATTAATTTCAAGAAATATATTGATATTCTAAATTTGAGCTGATACAAACATGCTTTGAAATGTTCATACTTTGTTGAGAAGCTTTTGTTTTTTCAAGGAAAATGATGTCATTTTAAAGTGCACACTCCATATTTAAGAATCTATTACCTTATTTTCTCATGAAACAGTACCAGATTATCTTCTTCAACGCCAACCACCTATCAGAAAGTTTTCAACTGAATGTCATTGAGTAAATTCTACAACAAAATAAGTGTGATGTAGAAAATCACGCACAGGCGAAATGTTCCCTATAATTACCATACCATATCAGCATAATGTCGTTTAGTTGTTTGAACAGGTTGTGATAACCTAGTCAGTGTTACCATAACCTTGGACTTCCCTTGCCTTTGGCTCTCAGTTTCCTCAACCCTCATCTCAATTTCTGGGGGTAGCGATAGTAATGACTCTTTTATATGATTCCCAAAAGGATATTTTCTTCCAGTGACCATCTCTATTTTCCTTGGATCTGCATCGGAGAGTGAGGCAAATGATTTTACTCCCATTGAATGAAGTGCCTATGCAGGAAGATAAGTGTACATCAGGAGAAACCTTAGGAATCTGTCTGTTCCCAAAACATGGACTATCAGATCAATATAAGCTACAAACCTTTGCTGTCACCATTCCAATACCAGGTAATTGTTTCAGCAAGTATGGACTATCATCCCAGACCTTTTGATACAAGGATTTGGTTAGAAGTGCTGAACTCAAAGCTCCTCGATAGTTCTTCCTGTAAATGAAATACTCTTTCATGCACTTTGCAATTCTATAGCCATTTGCACATATAGAGTTCACGTCCTATATCATTAAAAGACTATTAGCCCATATCAATGCTTTTGGTGAATGGTAATATAATACATGAACTTGATGACAACCTGGCTAAGGGATAAATCAAAGACCAAAGGGTCCCCCGTTAGGCAGTCATTTGCCAAAACAAATATCTTCTCTTCTTTGGTTTGGACCCGCTTTTTTCTTTTCTCTTTATCCCCAAGGATGTGAAACCGGAGCCTATTGTCTTTGTCAATGTTTATGTCATTCAGGAGCTTCTTCTCATTGCGCCTCAGTTGTATCCCTTCATTTTACAGGAAAGTGAGACATAGCACCTGTTGTAATTACTCAAACATTTTAATTGGTAGAGTATGTGAAGATACAGCTAAGTTCCTCAGCACGGCAAATGATTTGAAGTGCATCCTCTATGCTACAGTTTCCAGGGGCTTGCATGATGTGCTTCATCGTGTCGAATTTCAGATAATATTTCGTCATCAACTTTCCAGGTTCTGCGTATAAACGAGGCAGAAATTATGATTTCCAACATGGATATTAGACTATACTGCATTCTGAAATCTCCATACCAAGAGGCTTTAAGAGGAAACCATCTTCATCTGTCCAAATCAATTGATACCTTGACAACTCATTTACATTCTGAACACAAATATCTGGAATATATATTTTAAGTCAGCACATATGGCTAAATAAACTTGAAAGAACTTCATAGTTTACCAGTGTCACTGATCACCTTGCATATGCCTCTCTAAACGGTCGCCAGTTAGCCCCTTCCTTACTGCATATTTCTCTGGATTCTATATTTTGACTGAAAATTGTTAGGAATAAAACTTTACAGAAATTGCAGATAGATCATGTTCTCATTAATCAGCTCAGGAAGATATACCTTTCTTATTCTAACATACAAAAATGAGCATTTCATCCATTCAATTGCTCCTGTTATATCTGACACAGTCAGTTGAACAATCTCTGCTGTTAGGTGCTCTGTAATACATGGAAGCAATCTAAAGAGAAAGAAAACCACATCAACTTCTTGGTTACACAGTCCGTTTTGGATGCACCCAAGATCGAAAAGCATCACTAACTAACAAGATGAATAGTGACATACTGTGACTCCACCAATTCGCATCCACTTAATAAATTCTCGTACAAGTGAACCTAATGGGTAAAAGAAGGTTCAGATAGGAAAATTAGCAGTAATGATCAAGATGAAGTACAGAAGATTAGCTACTGACTGATGACTGCAGGGAAAGAAGAGAAAAGACAACATAAAATTACTCTAAGTCAA